GTAGACCCTCGCGCATCATCGAGAAGTCGGCCCCGGTGTCCACCAGGGCCCACACTCGCCTCCCCCCAATCTGTATTTCAACGACCGACGCTGTGAGGTGGGACCCTGATGGACGCCCGGCTGACATTTGTCCCTCAATGCCAGCTGCATCTAGTTTCCCTGGGTCTGTCCGGCACCGGGGCACGCGGGCGCACCGCCCATCGTGGCCGGGCCGTGCAGACTGCAGTCGGACATCCAATGACCATCACGTCTACAGCGCAGACAGAAGGGCCCCCCTGCGGTACAAGTTTTGGGACAATCACGAAATAGATGCCCCATTTCCCCACACGCGTAGCACTGTCGGCCCTCAGTATGGCCGCGCCGTTTGGGACAGAATCGTCGGGTGTGTCCCGAATCGCCACAGTCAAAACACCGAGGGGGTGGACGGCGGTTTCCTGATACGAATGCGGTGCCTCTCCGGGCGCCGCCGTCGCCATCTTCAGCGAGGCCGCCGGTGTTCTGCCTCCTCGGGGCGTCGGTACACAGCTGCTGCAGAGCCTGCTGGATGTCGTCCATGCGGCGCTCCAGAGACTGGAGAGCCACGGCCTGGTTAACGCCGGAACCGCCGCTTGAAGCCACCATGACTTGCGGTGTCATTGCCTCGTGTGCTCCCACTGCCGTTCCAAACTGCTGCATGGCCACGAGCGCAGTCTGCTGGCTCTTGAATTCGCGAGCGATCTTCACCGCCGCGTCCATAGAGTCTGGGCTTTTGTTGCAGAGCACGCTCTTCAGTCCAGTGTCTCTCAGCCCACATATGAAGAGGCCTCGCAGACTGACGTCGAGCGTCGGGTCATCTGGGACGGCTTGCGGATAGGCTAGGCGGCCCAGCTGCCGCAGTCTGTCGGCAAAGTCCGATACCGTCTCACCCGGCTGTTGACAGGCGCGAGCCAGCTCCACTTGTGCCTGCAGCGGATTCTGTAGCTGGCTATAGCGCTCTGCCAGGGCGTTCTTGGTGGTTTGATAATCCCCGCGAATTTGCTCCGGCAGGGATGCAAAAAAAATCCAGCGCACCACCCTGCAGCACGCTGATCAGGCACGGAAGTCGGTCGGCAGCCGGTAGCGCCGAGGTCTTGGCTTCGAAACGACGCACCCATTGCTGCCAATTTTGAGAGCCGGTTCCAGAAAAATGCTCAAAGTGGGACATGAGCAGTATGTGGTGATCCATTTCGATATAACAGTTAAATGACCGCCAAAAAAGTCACGTGAAAAACGACAAAATATGCTTACGTTATCCGAGTGAAATTAATAAAACCGCTACAACTTCAGCAAGGACATGACTTAACAATGAAAATGATTTAGCGGCACGTAGGAAAGTGAACATGCGACCGCGCCAGTGTTAGAAATCGTGCACGTCCTTCTCCTTGTATTGTGCACCAACATACCCCAGCTCACCATTCGTGGTCAAGCGCACCGCCTGACTGACTCACACACATAACTCACTTCAATCGTCGACTCAATAACAATAATCGACACACATTATGAATAACACGTGCGCCTTCAACACTGGCGTCCCACGTCTTCTATATTCCTAACACGCGTATAATTTGGCAATTTTTGAAGATATTTGGCCAAAACTTGCTTGAGTAAGACATAAGCATGTGTTCTATTACATATAATCCGTTTTTTTCAAAAGTAAGAAAAGGAAAATATATAAAGTCTAAATTATATTCTATATAATTTTCAAAATTTTTATAATTTTGAAATCCGATATAGCAGTTTGATAGCGCAGTCTATTCTGAGTCCTCTCATGCAACGAAATTGGATCTAGCTTAACCCTCTAATGCCCACACATAGTTCCACGGTTCCTAAAATTAGCACCTTGTGACATATGATTCATTTTGGGTCCCTTGTTCGAAATCTGGAGTCAAATATTTTTTCGCAGTTCAAATTTCGGAAATAAATTTTGTATCAAATATGATACATTGGGCATTCCACTTGGTAATTTTTAGTGGTATCAGACCACACAGAAGGAAGTGAAGACATAGATGAGAAAACGTTAAAAATTGCAGTGATAAAAGTGGCAGTTAAATTGTGTAAAATGCCAACAAGACATAACGCTAATCATAGGCATCTATTTACGAGTGCCTTCTATTCCTTCAATTTCCACGATACAGCGCGTTGCACTTGTGCAATTTTTTCATAATTCAGACATGTGGGCCGTGCTTCTCAAACGTAGATGCGTTATGCATACTTGATATAGAAATGAAGACATTACAGTTGGCTCGCGGTAAGTGCAGTTGAAATGAAGCAGTTCTGATGCAAAATGCTGGTCAGCCTGCCGACGGACCGGAATCAATGCCAAAGACGATGTTGGTTTATCTTCATGATAGCCGGACAATCTCGGGTGACTGAAACTCTCAGCCTGTGAATCGTCAGTTAGTACTTTGACTGGTCGTGCGGTCCTGATGTCATCGGCGCCAGTATAACAGCCGCGCACTGACCAGTGCAAGAACCGTTGTACGTGTCAGACAACAAAGGTACAGGTAACTGTGCACCGATCGGCAGGAACTTGCACAATATTCATTGACCTCATATGGAGGTGAGCATACGCAATACGCAATGCCGCACTTTAACTTTTATTCTTGTGGTCAGTACAAAAGTAGTATCCATGTTTTAGTACCTATAAATCCTTTTTGTTCAGTGGCACTCAGCTACCACAGTTGGCGGTATATGTCAATATATGACAACAAATGACATGCCTGGCAGTGAAAATGCTTGCCAGGTGTCAGGCACCTGCTGGAACCTGGCAGCAGTGCATGGTTGCCTACTTCTTAGATAGGAAATCAAAGGAACCACGGCCTTCGGTCCGGAGTCTGTCTTCATGGCGAGCCCGTTTAGCCAGCTTCCTCTGAAGATGACGATATAGTTTTCCACTCCACATTCAATCTCTTACTACTGGGATGAACGGAGGAGATTTGAATCGCAAACAAATTGTGAGTCGTTCTCCAATATGAATGAAAAATGCTGGCTGGCTGCTAATGCAAGTCTTCAGCCATGCCCAGCTAACACATAGACCCACAAGACATAAATAAGCCCGTCCACAACCCCTGTTGGAATATCGAAATTGTGCAAGAGACCGCTGAATCCTCCTGTCCCTAACATCAAGTCTCAATTTTTGGTTTCACGAGTATAAATGCTCGCACGGATGATCGTTCCTTGAAATCAACAAGCTTGTCATCGATAGCATGTCATTCCTAACGTGGTTTTAGAAGACCTGCGGGCCCTGCTAGAATACAGGTCTGCTAGTGTCCTGCAGATCAAAAAGTTCACTATTGTCATCGTCAAACAGTTGCAAAACCATATTCCTATGAGCGTTAGAAAAGTCGAGATGTATGAGGCATGTAAGGCCACTCATAGAAAGCTAGATGTTGGAAGATTGACAAGGATGAGAGGCGGCATAAGCGTACCAATATCGTTAGGACATTTTAAGTCTGGAGCGAAATAGAGTTACCTATCTGGCGCAAGAGGTGCGAACTTCACAAATTTATGCATCTTGTACCATCGTCATTTGCAATGACTCACAGGCCATTGCAATGCTTATCACCTGAGAAAACTATGGTATTGGCACACCGTATGTTGCAGCGGCGAAAATTTCATAGAAAATATTGGAGTGCTATGCCCACTGTATCATATCTAGTATCCCCAAAAATAGGGGTCCATATCTTTGACCCTGAAAAAGTTGCGATGTTTTGCAACATACTATGATATATGTTGAACATTTGTCTCACAGTATACCAAGTTTCTTTCCAAATAACTAATTTTTGTTTTCAAAATGCTTAAATTTACACTTGCATCTCAAATTGATTTTCGGCAAAGGACAAACTGACCCTCTTCAAAATCACCTGGTGGGAAACTGAGAAATCATTACTTAAAAATTTTGCCACCAGGTGGTTGCCAAAACGTACCACTTCTGATACAGCAGGGTTTTCAACAATTTTCACCTCTATAATTAGCAGGCGAATTTTCTGCAAATTGACTTACAGATATGATACCGGGGGCACTAGAGGGTTAAAAACTGAGCTCTTGGGAGCGACTGCCGTGGTTCAATGTTTTGCGTCGAAATTGGCCGAACATGACGTCACTCTGATGTCATTTCCAGCCGACGTATGGTAGCTACGAAGTTCATATTTTGACACAAGGTGCAAATTGATGCAGGCGAAGATACTTAAAGATTTGCGTTGATACGTCAATCGGTTTGGATGTTATTGCAGTAAAACTGGAGGGGGGCTATGAATAGCCCCCCCTCGCGGGGCGCAGGTGAGAGCTTTGTTATCCCATGACCGCTGAGCTAGTTCAAGTTTACACTGACCTTGTAAGTACCAGTTTTGTGACCTGGCGACCTGACCTGAAATGGCTAGAACCTAAAATTTCAATGGAATGTGCTAAACGAATACCCCAGAAGGTACCCACGCTAAATATTGGCGTCGCTTGGCCGCCATTTTTACGCTGCCTTCGAAAACCTTAGAGTTTGCATCAACCCCCGTAGCCGGGCGAGGGCTAATAATGACATTTACCAGAATGGCCCAGAGGTTTATTCTAAATGCCGGCACCTGTGCCGCGGTGTGCCGGTGAGGAGTCAGCTGGTCGGACGGCGGACCTGTGTTACCGTCGTATCCCTGACAACCATCGACCAGTGGTGGTGCAGTGAGCTCCCTCCGAGCGGGCGGCAGTGGTCGCTCCGGGGTGCACGGGGCGCAGCCGGAGCCCGGGCGTTCGACCCCGTGTCCGCCGGCTCTGCGAGCGACACAGTGTGTGCTGACGGTGGCAAACAGTGCAGCGACGGTGGGACAACAGTGAAGCGGCATAAGAACAACAGTGTGGTCACCGTGGGACAATAATAGAGCTACAGGACAGCAGTGCGAGCAGCGGCAGGGGTCCCAGTGCACGCACTAAACTGAATGGGCGTGTGCAGGTGACAATTTAGTCCTCGCTTGTTGCGGCTGGACGGTGCACTCTTGGTTTTTGGTCCCAGTGGGACACTGTAATGTGGTACATTGGGTGATAAAAAGTGGAGGGCTTGGCGAGGCCCTGGAAAGTTAAAAAGTTCGGCACACATTGCATTGCGTATAATTGGACGTGACTCGCAACAACGGCCAGTTCTTTTAAAGAACTGTCAACAGCGCAGAAATAAAATGAGAGATCTGCATAAGTTATGACCAAAAATGTAGGCAATGAATATCATTCCGTTGCCAAAGCTCGGTGGTGAACTGCTCTGTCAGTGATTACTTCAGTGCAAAGTAAACACGTGTCTTATCTTTTATTTTGGTTTGAACTGGTCGCATTTGATGATCGAATCACAAAAGAAGCAAAAGGGAGAACGAGGACGAAACTTCAGATGAACAGCAATTCACTGAAGAACGGAGAGGTAAGTCAATCTGCTGCGCAAAATGATATTTAGATTAACCCGCGCCCTGATGGGGGGGATTTTGGCCCCCTGTGGTTTTTCTTGAATAGCGAGAAGACGGCGGCGCGCAGCGCCGCCAAATTTTGGGTAGCTTATTGAGCATCAATTTGACACCTTTACACAAAATTTCAAGTCACAGGTCACCTCGAGTCAGGAGTTATTGAGGTGAAACTGAGGTCATGTTCGAGTAAAAATGAGCAAAAAACTTGACATCTTGAAACGCTCACCAATTCTACAGTTAACAAGTAATTTTAAAGTTCTTTATGTGGTTGTGTAGAGAAAAGACGGTGCTACAAAACTGCTATCTCCGATTTTCGAAATTTGGGGTTTTTGACCCGAAAAATAAAAAAATGATTTTTTTTTTAGAAAAACTAAAAAAAAATCCAAGAATTTTTCGAATTTCGAAAAAAAAACAGAATATTTGTGATATTCCCTTCGCTCTTCGATATACATACCAAATTTCAGATCAATACCTCTTTTTTTGGCCAAGTTATAGCGAAAAAACTGTTAAAAATTGATGACGTCAAATTTTATAACTCAATTTTTTTCACTTCTAGACCACGTAGCGCAAAAAAGAGACCACCATTGAACTCCCCGTGACGAGCTGCATCGAATCGATACCCATTTCATGCAAAAATATCAACTTTGAAATTTGACCTAATTTGACCTGACCTTGACCTGACCTTGACCTGACCTTCACCAAAACATAATCTGAACCGACCCCAAGGGCGGCCTGTCCCACATAATCGCATTTGGCATATAAAATGAACCATAAAACATGCATCACATGATATTCCTACTTTGTGACCCTCAGTGACCTGACCTCTGTGACCTGACCTGGTATCAGTGACCTCAAATTGCAAAATATGTGTTTGACCAACATTTCCCCATCGATGATTTTCAATGAAATGCATTTTACTCGATTTTACAACGCATTTCTTGAAATACCTGTAAACGGTGAAAATTCGACCTTTGACCTGACCTGTGACGTCATCGGTTTGACCTAGGTCAATGAAATTCGGTCACAAGGTAGTTCCCCATTAGGGCTATCCAACGCCGTTTGCTGCTTGTCGCTATGTTGCGTAGTTCTCGAGATCTTAGGGGGCCAAAATGCCCCCCCCCCATCAGACCGCGTTACTCGGCAGACCCCATCAGGGCGCGTATCAAGTCCCACGACTTGATAGGGAGGCGTTGGGTGTTGGGAGATACATAAAACGTCAATAAATTTTTACCATACCTCAGATAAAAAGAAAAATAAGGAACGGATACGTGTTGCAAATTAATTGACGCCTGTTTTGACAGAATTTGAAAAAAAGTCGGTACAAATTTTTAACCCTCGCCGGACCTATTGGTTTTCTACATACGCGCCGGCTGAGGGGGGGGGGGGCGGGTACGACCCCCTCGCCGTTTCGCCCCTGGTGGAGCTAGCGCGTCGCGGAAAAAACGAGCGTGTGCGCCTTTACGAGACGCAGATATTGATACCCATCTTTAAGGTCCTAGGTCATCCGGTGACCTCTGAGGTCAGGTCAAGTGCCGCAAGGTACGGTTCCGTTTTTGGTGAATAACTTTGCAAAAAAACGGCCGCAGAGCCGCGATTTTGGCAGCATTGTGCTCGACTCGCTCAGGCGCGTCGAACGATTTTTTGTTTGTTTGGGTGAAGTCAACTGGGTGTTGACCTCAGGTCACGGTCAGGTCAGCGCCCCCAGGTCACGAAATTGGTCGAAAGAGGTCATGTCGCATATCATTCGATTCGGAAGGTTTTCCTGAGTCCATTGGTGGCTTTCCCGACTCGCTAGCTCAATTTGATCGGGAGTTATTGACGAAAAAGTAATATGACCCTGATGACGTCATAAATGACGTCACGCAAGGTCAAAATTGCCAAAGTGACGCATCAAACCTTGCAAGGAGTGCATCAAATCACGATTCTGTGTGCTTGAGATAGTTGGAGATCGTTCCCGGCGCCAGAATAGCAGTTTTCATTTTTCCCCTTTGACTTATAATGGTGAGGTCACGAAAATGACCTGACCTCATATGACCTTTAGAAAAAATCCGAGATATAAAAGTTGTGAGACTCGTAATGGATAATAGATCCTGCAAGTTTCATTTCCCTGTGAAAGCTCCTCTGGCAGTGAGGGCGTTGCGAAGTTGCGACATCTGAAGACCTTGCAGAGGTTCACTTTTGACGTAGGTCAGTGACATGACCTGACCCGAAAATGCGGTTGGTGTAAAAAAATCCGGCTTGAATCAAAGGTCAGGTATGCAGAGTTTCAGCTCTCTATCCTCAGCGTGTTCGGAGCTATCGCGAAAAAATTTATGTGTGTGGGGGGGCGGCACACGCCCCCCCCCCCCCCCCCTAGGCCGGCTTGGGTTAAGTTTGCCTCTGCACCATAAAAACAGCAGCAGCAGCAGCAGCAGCAGCAGCAAGTGTTATCTAACCTGACGCCTCCATCAGGTGCTGTCTCCCGCTAAACTGAGACCTTCTGTTTATCCGCTGCTGTCTCCCACTAAAATGAGACCCTCTGTCCACCTGCGGCTGTCCCCCGATAAACTGCCGTCTGTCCATCAACTGCTGTTTCCCGCTAAACTGACGCCTCTCGTTCCATCAGGTGTTGTCGATGGCAGCTCACGAGAGCCGTGAATCTCGGCCCCGTACCAGCTGGAATGGAGAGGCCCTCACACACACATCAGCCGAGATGGATCGGTTACAGGTGGGTCAAATAATAGCATACACACACCGAAACACACCTTCAGAAACTCCCAACCCGCCGATTCATGATATTTGACGTCAGGTGTTTTGTGAAAACTGTCTGAAAAAGTCTGAACTCTGAATTTCCTGAGCTAGTTAGTTGACATTTCTCCGCAGGTACAGCGTGCTTGGATAATTTACTTGGCTTATGTAACATCAATGCCGTGTATGTAATGCACTCATGTCTTGCAATCTGCACTATCTGAATAGCTTGAAGCCTTAGAAACTTCATTGATTTCATAAATGAGATGGTTTTAGCAGGCGATACCTAACAACCGAATAACTGTATCTGTACTGCTAGATGATAAAGTAACGCAAAAGAAGATAGCCTCATGGTTCATGAAAACCATTGATACCTACAATTCGTGACTAATTGAATGAACATTTGTGCTTCACAAGCTTCAGACATTTTGAGATGGTTTTCCTCGCGACCTATCGCCCATTCTTGAATGCACAAGCAGTAAGCACCCCTATATCCGTGCACGTGGCGGTATGATTGAAATAATTTCTTTTTCAGCTGTTTCGTGATGAACATCGACCGCCCACCTCCAGTCCCGGAAGTGTGGGCAGTGTGCCAAAATGGTTCGACTCTATGCTGAAATGTGATAGGTGAGCTGCAGTCTTCGATTTTTTTTTTTCTAGCCCATGCTCACATTTACATTGCTGTGAAATGTGCATCACCTTTGCGATATGATATTTGGACATGCGTGATCGATAATTTACATAGAACTTTTGTTTATGCCTATTATTTACGTGTTTTTACTGCAACTCCATAATCGGAGCACCATTGTCACTCTACATATCTGTCACATGTCAGGCATCCCAAATGGTTTTCAATCCATGTCGCTTTCAGCTCACTGCAATAACCGCTATCCTGCGCTGCAGGGGCTCCCGCTCCTCCTCTCAGGAGAGGATGGCTCCGCGGACTGCCGAGCCAGCAACTCGCGTCTTTGACCTTGACCTGGCCGGAGCGACGCGCCTGCGGACAACGTCAGGCCTGAGGGCGCGTCACCTCTCTGAAGAGGTCGACCTGGACCTGGCCGCCGGCAGTCGTCGAGGATCGCGGTCAGTGCCGCCCCCACTCACAGCCAATCAGGAGCGCAGTGTCCGCTCAATGAATGTTTCAGTGTCTTGCGTATGCCGGCCAATCGATTAATTTTTGTAGCTTGCTTTGGTAGTCATAACGCTGGAAATTATTTACGCTTTAGTTGATGTCGTTTAGTGAGAGACAAATATATGCAGCCGACAGTGAAGCTGTATACCTATTGATTAGCTTTCCAGCCGACTGGTGGCCTTGACAGTGTTATCCCGCGCCCCGTTGGGCTCTGCCGAGCAACGCGCCCGGTTGGGGGGGGGGGGGCATTTTGGCCCCCCCCCTAAGATCTCGAGAACCACGCAACATAGCGACAAGCGGTAAACGGCGTTGGATAGCCCCAACGGGGAACTACCTTGTGACCTAATTTTATTGACCTAGGTCAAACCGATGACGTCACAGGTCAGGTCAAAGGTCCAATTTTCACCGTTTACAGGCACTTCAAGAAATGCGTTGTAAAATCGAGTAAAATGCATTTCATTGAAAATCATCGATGGGGAAATGTTCTTCAAACACATATTTTGCTATTTGAGGTCACTGATACCAGGTCAGGTCACAGAGGTCAGGTCACGGGGGGGTCACAATATGAAAGTGTCGTGTGTTACATGTTTTATGGTCCGTTTTACATGACAAATGCGATTATATGGGTCAGGCAGCCTTTGGGGCCAGCTTAGATCACGTTTTGGTCAAGGTCAGGTCAAGGTCAGGTCAAATTAGGTCAAATTTCAAAGTTAATATTTTTGCATAAAATGGGTATCGAATCGATGCAGCTCGTCACGGGGAGTTCAATGGTGGTCTTTGTTTTGCCGTACGTGGTCTAGAATTGCTAAAAATTGAGTTCAAAAATTTGACGTCATCATTTTTGAACAGTTTTTTCGCTATAACTTGGCCAAAAAACGAGATATCGATCTGAAATTTGGTATGTATATAGAAGAGCGCTAAGAATATCACATATATTCCGTTTTTTTTCGAAATTCGGAAAATTTTTGGATTTTTTCAAAGTTTTTCTAAAAAAATCAATTTTTTGAATTTTTTTTTGGTCAAAAACCAAAAAATTTGCAAATCCGAGATAGCAGTTTTGTAGCGCCGCTTTTTGTCTACTAGACCATATAAAGAACTTTGAAATTGCTTGATAACTGTAGATTTGGTGAGCGTTTCAAGATTGCATGTTTTTTGCTCATTTTTGCTCGAACAAGACCTCAGTTTGACCTCAATAACTCCTGACCTAAGGTGACCTAAGACTTGAAATTTGGTGTGAAGGTGTCAAATTGATGCCCGGGAAGGTACTGAAAATTTGGCGGCGCTGCGCGCCGCCGTTTTCTTGCTATTCAAGAAAAACCACAGAGGGGGCCAAAATGGCCCCCCCCAACGGGGCGAGGGATATTTGTGTCGCATTTATAGGTCAGAACGAAACGCGATAGCTCGGATTGTTTCGGTCTTAAATCTTCGAGAAAATAGTTATGTTCTTAAAGGGACTATCCCACCTTTAACATGGGGTTTGAGTTGAGATAGCCAAGTTTGAGGCGAGGTTCAGAAACCACTATCTATCTAGGTTGCAACCCCCGCGGCCTCTTGGTGTTGAAGAAATTCGTTCCCTTCATTTGAAAATGGGCCTTGTACAAGGCCCTATCTTCAACATGGAGCGACCGTTAGTGTGACGTCACCTCGTTTAGTCATTCTGATTTAAATGGGTTTGTTCGTTGAAAAATCGCTTAAAACTTGGTCTGAACTTTGTTGTGGTGCCTACAGAGTAAAAAGAATCAGCTTTATGACAGTAATGTGGCCTGGGGAAGGAGGTACTTTTGGGCTGTGACGTCACATATTTGAAAGTTTGTGTTTGGAATAGGTATGGGAAGCCTAAGATGTTTAATGAAAAATAAATGCCAGAACCGTGTTCCTGGTCATCCAATCTATAAAGTCGGGCACAATTTAACTGGTTTTAACAACATTTTAGAAGGTGGGATAGTCCCTTTAAATGGAACTGTCAAAAGCCGCTCCCAAGATTAGGAAGCAAAGCATACAAGCAAGTAAAAAGCTGTGTTGCATTGGATGATTTTTTTTTTTCGATTTTTCACCTAAAGCCAGATACAATACATCCAATCGCCCCACGTCACATCGGTAAAACGTCCACTATGGTCGAATGTTGGGCTCAAATAACGTCGAAAAAAGGCAGAAATTGCACGGGATTCCCGTGAAAGCTGACCGTAGCGTGCTCCTAGATTGCCATATTGACCCGGGAGCCATGACGAGCCTATAACCGGCTATTTAGTCCAGGCCAGCCCACACGGCTTCAAAGGTCAGAGGGCAATGCTGGCCCGTGTGCAATGGCTAGGCCATCAGATGCATGCATTACATAACTATACCAGAACAGAAAAAAACAAAATTGGATATGCATCCATTTTGTACCCAGAGTATGGTACCAGAGTATGGTAGCTAGAAGAGTATGGTACTTGCCTTGGTATCCGACTTGCCATTAGACATTCAAGTTGGATACCAAGTTTATGGTATACGGATACCGAAACAATATCAAGCTGATATTTGATATTTCAATTATTTTATGCTTGGCATATTTCAATTCTATCATGGATCCTGACTAGTGTATTGTATTGAATGATCTGAACTCGCTAGAAATATTACATTTCTATCAATTTCTAAAAATGGTTCGGTTTTGGTATTTTATCGTGGTTTTTGGTCGGTATTTGGTTTGATATCACATTTATGTTCCTAGACATAAATATGTTCTGTTCCTTCACATTTAACAGCATTTCACCGGTGCATTTTCGGCTGAATGATATCTCTGCTTTACTTAACTGCGAGTCAATGACTAACGGTCAGACACTGCATGCGTTTCGCTTAACAAATTGTCTGTTCAACAGCCGCACATTTTGGTTGTCTGTCTGTCTGATTACGCCGCACATTTTGATTGTCTGTCTGCTCTGTCTGACTGCCTATGTGCAGCTCCGTAGCTCGTTCAGTTAGTCTAACTGTTGGTCGGCTTTACGGTCGGTCAGTTGATCTAGCCGTCGGTCGGTCGGTCTGTCAACTGACCTATCCGTCGGTCAGTCGGTCGGTCGGTCGGTCGGTCTGTCGGTCGCTAGTGTCTCGACGCATGGGTCACTCGGTAGATCGCTCGCTCGCCCGCTCGCCGGTCCGCCGCTGACAGGCGTGGTGTGTATGTTGGTGGACTGGTTGGCATGGCTCCGTCTACACTGTGCCGTGCCGGTCACCGGAACGGTCTACCCACGGGCTCGTACTCGGGTCGCGTGACCCCAGTTCACGGAGCCTCCGCTCCCTGTCACTGCGCGAAAATGGACCGAACAGGGGCCCGTGTCTCGGTGATGGAGCGAGCAGAATGGTGCACACAACTGAGCCATCATAGGAACGGAAATGGAGCACGCAGAGGCGGAAATGAAAGTGGGTCTAGAAGACATTGGATGGGAGGCTCGCGGCCTACTTGCAATGGCTAATCGGATAATACTTCAAAAGCATCACGGCGGACACGTGCGTTATCAGTAAACGTGAGCGCACACTACGCGCTTCATAGAAAGTATATGTACATTGCACACACACGCAACTCTTAAGTTTTTTATGTCTTTTCTTTAGATATCATTAAAAGTTAAAACATTTATTGTTTCTCTTCTTGTGGGAGTTGTGCCTGAATTCTAGTTGATTCACGATACACTGAATTATGAAGCTCGTTATCGATTAGAGTCACAAAGGATGTGGGTCAGTTAGTGGATCCAGGCGGGGCTGAACGAGGGACAAAAAGACGAAGTTGTTGTCGTGTGTTCTCTTAGATACCGTTGTGCATGACTTCAGAGGCCTGTTTGGAGCACCTGGAGTCCCTCAGATGTCTTCGTGAGAGCCCTCAGAACGCTGTCTCCCTAAGCCCCGTTCCCTCTCGAGTACCACCCTCCTTCATATCCGATACCTAGCGCTTTCCTCCATCAGCTCTCATCCCGTTACCCTTTCGTTTGCTGCCCTCCCTCCGTCATTCCCCAGTTTTATCTCGCTTGCTGCCCGCCCTCAGCCATTTTCCGTTCCCTCTCGAGCGATTTCCTCCCTCAGCCTTCCTCCCGTTCCCTCTGGTTGCTATCCTCGCTCAGTTCTCCTTTTGTTCCCTCTCGAGCTCTGCTCTCCCTCAGCCCTCCTCCCGTTCCCTCTCGATTGCCACCCTCCATCAGCTATCCCTCCGTTCCCTCACGTTGCAGCGACCAGGAGCTGGTGGAGGTGGAGCGACCACGGAGGGAGGGATCGGCGCGGTACGGTCGGAGGGCAGCCGGCACACCCAAAACGCCCGACAGCTCCCGCAACACGGGCACCGCTTCGTCAGGTAGGCAGGGAAGGGCTGGTGCTGTTTCATCAGGTAGCAAGGGCAGGGACAGGGCCTGCCACGGTAGGTATGTACCAAGGGCAGGGCTGGCGCTGCTTCTTATAAGGTAGGGGCTGGCGCTTCTGCTGCCTCAGCGGGGAAAAGAAAGCCGGGGAGGGCAAAGCCTGTGCTCCGTCGTAAAACATTGGGGAAGGGTATGCTTTGGTATATGCCAATCTCCTGAATTATGGAGCCTTTGAAAGGGCAAGGAAAGCAACCACGGGATCATCAGTGGGCCTCTAATGCGGGGCTTGCCCAAACCTCTTGAAACATCTTGATCGTCAAACTCTCCGCTTGGCCGTGCCGTCAGACTCGTCCAGCGGCCGTCTGAGCTCGCCAAAGGCGATCCCGGAGGACTGGCTAGACACGATGCCCGGGCATTCAGTGTTGTCACCCATACCGTCTAGCCGTGGCGACCTGAGCTCCCCGTCAGCCGGGACGACTGGACCACACTTCTGGGAGGCCGCTGCGCCAGGTTAGAACACCCTGCGTCTGTCGGTCTGTGCGTTTATCGGTCCGTGCGTTTGTCGCTTATGGTCGGTCTGTAGGTCTATTGGTTTGTTGGCCTTTTGGTCTTGTTGCCTGCCGATCTGTCGGTTTATCGGCTTGTCGTTCTGTCGGTCTGTTGTAAGTAACCTTGTTTCGAACGCATTACCTTGTTTCGCATACGCTACGCTCACTTCCACCCTAACGTAGTGTGTTATCCGACAGGTTTGCCGACCGTGGTGCACAACCCTGCCTCACTGGAGGAGTCATGGAGCCACCTACAGATGTTTAACCGGCAGCAGCGAGGTCGGATCAGCAGTCTCCAGACCGACTCCGAGCTCTACCAGTTGGGCAGGGAGAGGTCAGTGCCGGTACACTACCAGGACTGGTGTCTGACAGCCATCCGTTGTATGCTTCAAAGTAGCTTTGGAAAGTGCTTTGGAAGCGTTACCTGCGTTGGACTCCTTGCAATGCGTTTAAGGGAACTCCGAAGCACCAGGAAGTGTTCTTGCATCTTCGATGAATGAAATGCAAAAAGCGATGTTTTATATATTTTATATCGAAGGCCATCGTTATTAGTCATCGTCGAGGCCATCGGTGGCCTCGTCCCTCACACGGACACATATTCACCTGTCTGTTCTCATTCCTGTAACAGGTTCGCTGGCGCCAAGCTGGCCCTGCTTCCGCAGGTCGACGAGGGCGCCGAGTCGTCCTGCGAGGAGGAGGACTTCTTCATCCCGGAGCTACCGCGAGGCAAGAACCTGACCATCAACATCAGGAGCACCTGGGGCGACCGGCACTACGTGGGCCTCAACGGCATCGAGATGTTCTCCGCCTCCGGCGAGCCCATCAAGGTGGACAAGGTCAGTTCTGAAGGGAGTCCATCGGGGAGACATTGTCAGTCCTGGAGTGGGTCCATAAGGCCGACAAAGTCAACTGGCGCCAGTTTGTCAGGAGGACAATAAAAAGTCTGGAATGAATCTGCCAGGTAAACAAGAAGACATTCAAAAAGTCCCCCTAAGAAGTTATTCACTTACGTATCTTACAGCATACGCCGATCCTAAGGCTTATCATTCGATATGAAAGCGCATTGTTCCACAGTACACACTCCCCTGTGGCCCGCCTCTCACTCATGCCTTCTCTCGGTATCCATATCCTCGCTGACATATGTCCCCTTTTCACCCATCTTCTCTCGTTTCTCTATCGCTTTCCTCTTCTTCTTCGTCTCACTACCACCTCCCCACTCGCAGATAGGTACATCTCCGCCAGCTCTGTATAGTTTCTTCCCTCCTCCCCCACGCTTCTTCGCTCACTCCTGTCCATCCCACAGATATCGGCCGACCCTGCCGACATCAACGTTCTTGACGAGTACAGCGGCGACCCGCGTGTAGTCTCCAACCTCACGGATGGGGTGTACCGCACGCGCGACGACATGCATCTGTGGTTGGCGCCCTTCACTCCAGGCGGCGACCACCTGGTCAACGTGCGCTTCGCCCACACCTCCCAGCTGGCCATGCTCAGGATATGGGTGAGTTAGAGGAAGGGGGAGGGATTCTGGGATGTGAAGGTGGGGTTCTTTTGAGGTGGAATAGGTGGCAAGGAAGTCATTGAACATAAGGTGAATGTAGATGTTAGTGCATGGCAGATGTCTGGTTTTAGCTTTCCTTCGTTGGTATTATTTCTACGTCATTTACATCAAATTAGGTACGTCATATATCTTTTCCCCAGGCCTGTATAGTTTCAAACCTGTTTACCCCATACACCACTTGTTTTTTCAGAACTACAACAAGTCGCGGTGCCACTCGTTCCGTGGAGCCCGTCACGTGGACGTAACGCTGGATGGAAAGACAATCTTCAGTGGCGAGATCGCGCGCGCCTGCGGGGGCATCCTCGGGGGCACCGAGGCCTTCGGAGACGTGAGTTCGGCAACGAGAGGGTTAGAGGGAGAGAGAAAGAGAGAGGGGGAGAGAGAGAGAGGGAGAGGGGAGGGAGAGAGAGAGAGAGAGAGAGAGAGAGAGAGAGAGAGAGAGAGAGAGAGAGAGAGAGAGAGAGAGAGAGAGAGAGAGAGAGAGAGAGAGAGAGAGAGAGAGAGAGAGAGAGAGAGAGAGAGAGAGAGAGAGAGAGAGAGAGAGAGAGAGAGAGAGAGAGAGAGAGAGAGAGAGAGAGAGAGAGAGAGAGAAAGGGAGAGGGGAGGGAGGGAGAAAAGAGGGATATTGGTTGATCAGATAGCATTTTAAATGCATACAACATTAAACATTTGAGTAGATCTTCATTCTTCTAAGATTAAGGAATATTTTATGAGAATGTGTATAACGCACGATGGCACTTATACTTGGCACTTACAATGACAGCGCTTAACCCGCGCGGGGCTGGGGGGGGGGGGTAAATTTTACCCCCCCTGTTATCTCCCGAACTAACGGTCCGATTTGGAAAATTCAAACGCCAATCGAAAGCTCTCATCACGAACTACTAAAAACATGTACTTAATTGAAAGTTTGAGGTTAAGGTCAAGGTCAGGTCAAGGGTACAAATTGCAAGTTTCTACAGTATCGGCCTTGCACCGTAGTTGCCGAAGGATGGAGTCATGGACTGAGACTGATCGCCCAAAACGTGTTCTTAGGCTACCAAGACAATATTCGTTGCATACAATATCATTCAGAGGTCAAGGTCAAGGTCAGGTCAGGTCAGGTCACCAAAAAACAAAATATAGAAAAGGGCATGTGCGACACATGTTTTATGGGTCATTTTACTCATAGAATTCAATAGGCACACTCAATAAGTGATATGGACCACCTCTGGATGAATTTCAGGTCGAGGTCAGGTCAAGGTCAGGTCAAGTGAGGTCAAATTTTGAAGTTGATTGTTAAGGCCTAAAAAGGTGTCTATCTGATGCAGTTTTTCACGGCGAATCGAATGATGGTGCTATTTTTGTTTCCGTACGAGGTCTAGAACTTCCAAAAAAAGTCATTTTTCAAAAATTTTGTGTGTCGTGACGTCATAAAATTTTGAATAACTCCACATTTTTGAACCGATTCTTCTAAAATTTGGTATGTTGGTGAACATAGACCACTTCTCTGACATATACCTATTCCGGTTTTTTCGATAGACTCAAAATTTTGGATTTTATAATGATTTTCCCAAAAAAGTCAGTTTTTTGAAAAAATTTAGGCCAAAATCCAAAATTTTCAAAAAACCGAGATAGCCAATTGATAGACAAAGTAAAATTACGTATAACCTTTTTTGTTACGTCTTGATTCCTTTAAAAATGAAGATGTTAGCGGCGTTTGAACTTTTGCCGTTTTTGAGGCGAAAATGACGAACATGACGTCACTAAAACGTCAATTTCTCAAAAAATTTCCGAGGGATTTCGCTCAAATTTTCAGGGAACGTGTTAAATTGATGTAAGAAAAGGTACTGAAAGTTTGGCGGCGCTGCGCGACGCCGTTTTTGAGATATCGCAAAAATTCGCGAGGGGGGGTAAAATTTACCCCCCCCCAGCCCCGCGCGGGTTAACCCTCGCCCCGTTGGGGGGGGGGCCATTTTGGCCCCCCCTCTGTGGTTTTTCCTGAATAGCAAGAAAACGGCGGCGCGCAGCGCCGCCAAATTTTCAGTACCTTTCCGGGCATCAATTTGACACCTTCACACCAAATTTCAAGTCTTAGGTCACCTTAGGTCAGGAGTTATTGAGGTCAAACTGAGGTCATGTTCGAGCAAAAATGAGCAAAAAACATGCAATCTTGAAACGCTCACCAAATCTACAGTTATCAAGCAATTTCAAAGTTCTTTATATGGTCTAATAGACAAAAAGCGGCGCTACAAAACTGCTATCTCGGATTTTCAAAATTTTGGGTTTTTGACCCAAAAAGTTTCAAAAAATTGATTTTTTTTAGAAAAACAAAAAAAAATCCAAAATTTTTCCGAATTTCGAAAAAACCGGAATATATGTGATAGTTTCTGCGCTCTTCTATATACATACCAAATTTCAGATCGATATCTCGTTTTTTGGCCAAGTTATAGCGAAAAAACTGTTCAAAAATGATGACGTCAAATTTTTGAACTCAATGTTTAGCGATTCTAGACCTCGTACGGCAAAACAAAGACCACGATTGAACTCCCCGTGACGAGCTGCATCGATTCGATACCCATTTTATGCAAAAATATCAACTTTGAAATTTGACCTTATTTGACCTGACCTTGACCTGACCTTGACCTGACCTTGACCAAAACGTGACCTAAGCTGGCCCCAAAGGCTGCCTGACCCACATAATCGCATTTGTCATGTAAAATGGACCATAAAACATGTCCGTGAAGTTGGCGAAGTCGCCAGCGACTTTTCCAGCGACGAGCACCGATTTTAGCCAAAACCTCGTCCAAGGTCAATTGGACCATGAGGATCACGAAAATCGAACCCATTCACCCCATAAACCTTGACCTTCAAGGTCAAATTTAAGGTCAAAGGACGGGGAACTGAAAAAGTGCCACTAAATATTGTCCGATCTTCAAAATTTTGGCACCAAAATGTAGCGCGTGCAAAGTTCTAGCCGCACATCGAAAACCATTTTCATCAAGGTCAAACTTCAAGGTCAAATTCAAGGTCAAAGGACGGGGAACTGAAAAAGTGCCACTAAATATTGTCCGATTTTCAAAATTTTGGCACCAAAATGTAGCGCGTGCAAAGTTCTAGCCGCACATCGAAAACCATTTTCATCAAGGTCAAACTTCAAGGTCAAATTCAAGGTCAAAGGACGGGGAACTGAAAAAGTGCCACTAGATATTGTCCGATCTTCAAAATTTTGGCACCAAAATGTAGCGCGTGCAAAGTTCTAGCCGCACATCGAAAACCATTTTCATCAAGGTCAAACTTCAAGGTCAAATTCAAGGTGAAAGGACGGGGAACTGAGAAAGTGTCACTAAATATTGTCCGATTTTCAAAATTTTGGCAACAAAATGTAGCGCGTGCAAAGTTCTAGCCGCACATCGAAAACCATTTTCATCAAGGTCAAACTTCAAGGTCAAATTCAAGGTCAAAGGACGGGGAACTGAAAAAGTGCCACTAGATATTGTCCGATCTTCAAAATTTTGGCACCAAAATGTAGCGCATGCAAAGTTCTAGCCGCACATCGAAAACCATTTTCATCAAGGTCAAACTTCAAGGTCAAATTCAAGGTCAAAGGACGGGGAACTGAAAAAGTGCCACTAAATATTGTCCGATCTTCAAAATTTTGGCACCAAAATGTAGCGCGTGCAAAGTTCTAGCCGCACTTCGAAAACCATTTTCATCAAGGTCAAACTTCAAGGTCAAATTCAAGGTCAAAGGACGGGGAACTGAAAAAGTGCCACTAAATATTGTCCGATTTTCAAAATTTTGGCACCAAAATGTAGCGCGTGCAAAGTTTTAGCCGCACATCGAAAACCATTTTCATCAAGGTCAAACTTCAAGGTCAAATTCAAGGTCAAAGGACGGGGAACTGAAAAAGTGCCACTAGATATTGTCCGATCTTCAAAATTTTGGCACCAAAATGTAGCGCGTGCAAAGTTCTAGCCGCACATCGAAAACCATTTTCATCAAGGTCAAACTTCAAGGTCAAATTCAAGGTCAAAGGACGGGGAACTGAAAAAGTGCCACTAAATATTGTCCGATTTTCAAAATTTTGGCACCAAAATGTAGCGCGTGCAAAGTTCTAGCCGCACATCGAAAACCATTTTCATCAAGGTCAAACTTCAAGGTCAAATTCAAGGTCAAAGGACGGGGAACTGAAAAAGTGCCACTAAATATTGTCCGATCTTCAAAATTTTGGCACCAAAATGTAGCGCGTGCAAAGTTCTAGCCGCACATCGAAAACTATTTTCATCAAGGTCAAACTTCAAGGTCAAATTCAAGGTCAAAGGACGGGGAACTTTAAAAATGCTACGTCACCAGCGACTTTTCCAGCGACGAGCACCGATTTTAGCCACAACCTCGTCCAAGGTCAATTGGACCATGAGGATCACGAAAATCGAACCCATTCACCCCTAAACCTTGACCTTCAAGGTCAAATTCAAGGTCAAAGGACGGGGAACTGAAAAAGTGCCACTAAATATTGTCCGATCTTCAAAATTTTGGCACCAAAATGTAGCGCGTGCAAAGTTCTAGCCGCACATCGAACCTGAAAAACCATTTTCATCAAGGTCAAAGTTCAAGGTCAAATTCAAGGTCAAAGGACGGGGAACTGAAAAAGTGCCACTAAATATTGTCCGATTTTCAAAATTTTGGCACCAAAATGTAGCGCGTGCAAAGTTCTAGCCGCACATCGAAAACCATTTTCATCAAGGTCAAACTTCAAGGTCAAATTCAAGGTCAAAGGACGGGGAACTGAAAAAGTGCCACTAAATATTGTCCGATTTTCAAAATTTTGGCACCAAAATGTAGCGCGTGCAAAGTTCTAGCCGCACATTGAAAACCATTTTCATCAAGGTCAAACTTCAAGGTCAAATTCAAGGTCAAAATACGGGGAACTGAAAAAGTGCCACTAAATATTGTCCGATTTTCAAAATTTTGGCACCAAAATGTAGCGCGTGCAAAGTTCTAGCCGCACATCGAAAACCATTTTCATCAAGGTCAAACTTCAAGGTCAAATTCAAGGTCAAAGGACGGGGAACTGAAAAAGTGCCACTAGATATTGTCCGATCTTCCAAATTTGGGCACCAAAATGTAGCGCGTGCAAAGTTCTAGCCGCACATCGAAAACCATTTTCATCAAGGTCAAACTTCAAGGTCAAATTCAAGGTCAAAGGACGGGGAACTGAAAAAGTGCCATTAAATATTGTCCGATCTTCAAAATTTTGGCACCAAAATGTAGCGCGTGCAAAGTTCTAGCCGCACATCGAAAACCAACTTTGCACGTGCTACATTTTGGTGCCAAAATTTTGAAAATCGG